GAACACTAAAACAAACACACACAGACACACCACCAAACAACCAATACACAAGCCAGGTACTCTTTCCTCAGAGAGATGCACTGGTCATAAGACACGGTTGCGTCGTTCCATAACGAATCTTGCTATGTGTGCAACAAAAACATTGAATAGATCTGGCGACGAAGTGGCATATAAGTTGAGATTCAGCAAATCGTACTTTTGGCGATGTTTTGTATGCATACGGGCAGACAAGCCGTTGCTCCCGATGGAACTGGCTAGCAAGGCCACAATCGGTGTGTTGGAGGCCTGTGAGAGTCGAAGCCAAAAGACTAACTGGCGATAGGTGATTTGCATTGGGCAGGTCAGCATGTGAAGATCGTGACACAGATCATGATTCCTACTCCACCGAGGGACTTTGACAAGCTTCTTGAGACAACTGTGGTATGCTATACACAACTCTCGAAACGTTTGCTGGTCACGATACACGTTCCAGAGCTCACATCCATACAGGTTGGTGCAGTACGATTTGAAGAGCTTCGTCAGTACACTTTTGTCGGCAAAGCCAATAGCTGCTGATAGCATGTTTACATTGGTATAAAGCGCTCTCTTAACACGGCGCATGTCATCGATGTCGCGCAGATCATCACGAATTACATGACCCAGGTACTTAAAAGACGTCACCCATCTTAACTGCTGGCCAGAAAGTAGCAACGAAGGAGGTCTGGAATTAACCAGATGAGTGGCCGAGTACGGTTTTCGAGGGAGGAATTGCATACACACAGATTTAAGAGGGTTAAATTCAACGTCGAGAAGATGAGCTTGCCTATTGCACTCATTTACAATTGTCTGCAACGCTTCCCTCGTGGGGGCCAGAAGCACAATGTCATCAGCGTATGCCAAAATGTTCGTTGCACATGCACCTACGCGACAACCAACACTCATTTCTCGCACTTTGCACAGAATGGAGTCAACGTACACACTAAATAACAACGGAGAGAGGATGCCCCCCTGCCTAACGCCATTGCCAGCATGAAATTTTTCGGAGATAAGACCATCCCATTTAACACCCAATGTCTGCATCCTGTACCAGTACAGCAACAGTTTGAGGTATTGTGAAGGCACGCCACGGTCGGTCAAAATACCAAACAGCTTTGAGTACGAAACACGGTCAAAAGCTTTTCTCGCATCCAGGAAACATGCATACACTGGACTGCCAAGTACATTATAATAATTGATCACTTCCTTGAGCACAAAAGTAGCATGGGTCGTTGAATGACTATCTTTAAAACCAAACTGTGCGTCGCTCGTGTGGAGGTATGGTGCTAGCCTTTCATGTAGAACTAGTTCCAGTACTTAAGATACACTAGTTGAGAGGGCAATGGCCCGATAGTTCGACTTATCATCCAAAGCACCGCCCTTATTTTTAACTAAGGGTACGATAATCGAATGCATCAAACTTTCTGGAACATAAGCATGGCTAACAAAGCTGCGGAATAATAGCACAAATATTTGCTTAATATCGCCATCCAGATGACGGAGATGATCAGGGGATAGACCGTCCCAGCCTGGGGACTTGCCATTTTTAAGCTTATTTATAGCAGCACTGATCTCATCATAACTGATATCGGGGAGATCATCTGAAGGTGTACTGTAAAGCTGGTCCAGATACTGCTGGTCACTACCACAACTGTGGTCGTTAAAGATTTCTGAATAGTGGTCCTTCCACATCCTAACAATGTTAGAGCTCTCGGACACCTCTCCAAAGCTAGACACCGCGGGGCTGCCACCACCGAGGTGCCTCCTGACAAGAACCCAGAAACGATTATCTGGCTGATGGGAAAGAGCCTCACCCAACTGATTGGCCAGCAAGATCTCACGTTCCCTTTTGCAGCGGCGTAGGGCGTATTTAAACGATGAACGTGCCAGTGACATTCGGGAAAAGAGAGCACCTGTCCTGGGAGAGCCAGCGGCACGCCAATTAAGAAAGGCACCGCGAGACGCTACATACTCGGCACGCACAGACCCATTCCAGCCGGGTGTGCACTTTGGATGTGCCATTGGATGCCTTTTGATGCACCTGTTTCCAGCGCGGACAATTACATGAGTAACGTAATCATACATACCGGCCAAAGCATACGCGTGTTCTGTTACGTTACAGTCAGACTGACAGTTGGGATGGATCTCTGCAACGGCTGCATCGTACGAAGGCAGGCAATTGCGAATTTCAGCGTTGTAACGAGACAAATCCTCAACGGAAACAGCTCTCCAGTTGAGAGAAGGCGCACATTGAGCGGACAGACTTGATGGTGTAAGCCGGCAGGGTCTTAAGTTATATGTGACAACTAAAGGCAAATGGTCACTTATACAAATGTCGAAGCGTATCTCTACAGCATTGATTAAATGATGCAGGGTGGGACTGCATAAGCAATGGTCCAGCCAGGAAGTTGTGCCATGTGCCGCGCTTAGAAATGTATAGTTGTCCGTGGAGGGTCCTAGAAAGCACATATCGGAAGTGAATAAGCCCTCTTCTGCGCAGAACTCGAGTAGTTCTGTGAAGAACCGAGAGCCACGACTGTTGGCATTAAGATCACCAATAATTCCCAACAAGTTCGAGCGGTGACGCTGTTGACTCAGCGTACAACTGAGTTGACCAAGGAACATACAGAAATCATCTAAGCAATCATGGTTACCGTAATCAGTTGGGAGGTATACATTAAAGAGACAAACCAAACCTGCATTTGTTTCAATATCAAGACGCATTATCCGTTTATCAATAACACTGACCTTAATGGAAGGCTGAATGCACTTTTTCCACAATATAGCCAGCCCGCCATATGGTCTTCCTCTAAGTAAGTTGGCCGAAGAGTCCATGGCCGATACACCTATGCCCAAAAAATTGTCATGCATGATGTTCAGCATTGGAAGCTCAAAAGTAGCTAACCAGGTTTCTTGCAGGAACACAATGTCATAGTCATTGCATAGTGACCTTATGTCAGGTGCAGAACTTTTCAATGAATGACAGTTTAGACTACATATTTTGAGCATGGAGGCCGAGACTAAACACGACCAGCGGCCACGTCGCTCGCGCTCCTGCTTCTCGTCAGTCTTTGCCGACTGAGAGGCTCACTGGGTGGCGCAAGACTAGCACCAGGACCATCCTGGACACGTTTAGGAGGGAAGTACTTTTTCAGAGACACATGGGCGGGCCATTTGTCTCCGGCCAGGACGACATCTCGACACTGCATTGGCACCGACACGACATACCCCTTATACCCGTATGCAGCTAGGCAGTGCGGTATCTCCTTAACCTCCGCATTGCCAGCACCACCAATGATAAAGTCTACGTGAGTCGCTACACCCTGTTCAGTGGTAGACGGATCTAGACGCCCCACGAAGAGGTCGACCTTTCTCGGCGGAGGAGCTACACCTTTCAGACCAAACTGACCTGACGCTGCGGAGCCTGTAACAATTTGCCGTCTTCTTGGTTTGGCCCTTACCACTTGAGTAAGGGCTTTCTTTTTCACTACATAGTTATGAAAACAAGATTTTTAAATAATTTTGAAGTCGTATTCTGCAATGCTTTTCGTACCGTATGTGGTCTACGTCCCTCTCCATTGATAGTCATTTTCAAGCATTGAGCTCAATAGTCAACATTTTGTCTCCGTGAAACGAACCGTCTCAGTTCGGTTCTTATTTAGAATCCGACACGATGTTCGAGTCGGCTGCCCGGCCGACAAGTGGTAGGTATGCCAGCTGACATACCACAGAGCTGCCGTCCTTCACATATGGATCCAGTCCGGGTCAAACGTTCCGTCCGTGCCAGCTGATCTGCCACGAGCTACCGCGAGGATGACATCGCGATGGCGTGGTGGCCAGCTGATGTGTGTCAGCGATCTGTCCCAGACTTGTCCATTCTTAGGACCGGTCTGGGTCAGCCGTTCCGCCCTACCGACCTCAGGTTTTCAGTTTTCTCGAGGGCCATCCGTCCGCTATAGGTGGGCGCATTAATCAGAGCGATCCATAGAGACTTTTGAGCCTTGAGCGGAACAATGAAGGCCGCGAAAAACAATGGTCTCGAAGCTTTGGTCTAATGTTATTCGGATTCTGATACATTTCAGGCGGTATTCTAAGAATGAATGAGGAGCACATTCAGAAGTTGGAAGAGAGATGCCAAATTGTATTATCTACGTGGTATCGGAATTATGTTTTTTTTTTTTACATTTTGAACATGTTGACCAAAGTGCACGTTGCGGGTAGAGGATTTTCTTTACTTGTATGAATTTCTGTGCATTCTACAACTCACATTTTGCTTAATTATAAGCACCGAAACATAATATCATAGGGCCGTCCATAGAACCGTGATCGCGTTTATTTCTTGCCTGCTAGTTACCGCGCTCTGTGAACATAGCCTGTCGTCGATCTCTGCGGTGTTACACTTCTTGACCTGAACCCACATTTATGACCCAAGACTACAAAAAGGAATGCAAGGGTGCTTATGAATAGCATCACCCACTTGTGAGGGCAGCATGGGTCACGGCTTCTTTCAACATGTTGGTTTAGCAACTCAACATGTTGACGTTCACAACACTTGCAACATTCGTGTCGTTCATTTGACGAATCAATGTAACTATTAACCCTCCTTGTTTATTGACAAGTGGGATGCTGAAATTAATGGACTTTATGCGTGGCAGTTGCAGCAAAAAGTGAATGTGTTGTGCAAACAGGCTGTCACACAGAGCGGTTTTCCTGACATTTACCGGTGGTATGGGTCTGCAGAAATGTTCACTGTGACCGCTACCCGTTTGGCGTCATGCTACTCCCACGGTAATGACAAGAGTTTTGTGCTGGATACATCTGTCAACTTCCCAACTTCCTCGTGAATGTTCTCATCGTAACGGTTTTGTTCTCTTGTTGTTCTCTGTTGGCTTCGTCAGAAGTCAATCGTCGCATTGACCTTCTGGCAGCTGACCTTTAGCGGATGACATGAGCCGACCCCTGACAGATTTCTGTTTGTTTGACAGGTGGCGATGCGTCTGTTCCGCCGGCGGGGGTCCGACTCGGCCCCCCAGCTGGTCAGCCTGGCGCCCCTGCAGCGGGACGAGGGCGGCGACCCGGAGGATCCGGCCGCGCCGCCCCTCCTCCGACCCTCGGCCGACTTCCTGTCCGCTGACGAACAGCTGCGGAAAGGTGAGACGACTCATTACCTTTTATCATCAAAACAAGTTAAGCCATTAGGATGTCACAGTAACTTGATTGATCAAATCCTTGAAATATTATTGAATTATGGTACCATGGTCATCTCGTGTTCCTGAAATCCGGCTGCAAAGGTCAACCGGGAGTTATCTTGCCACGCGCCGCTCCCACGTTCTTCAATTGACCTGCAGTCTGCACCTGTTCATTCAGAATGCATGGCTTCTCATGGCCGCCAATAAACCCAGCCACTCTCATTTGCACCCGAGTTCCGTCTCAGTGCATGACCTCAGCCCTCCGAGCCATCAGCAAATTGACTGTAAAACCGCGTACCCGCCCAGTGTAGCCCGGCGGCTGCGGCTGACGACTCTGGCGGCACCGCCCAGTGCTGCTCCTACCGCAGTCGTAGGCGCCAAAGCGCTGTCGTAAACACGGCGTGTGTACGATTATCGGCCATTGACTGGCATCAGCGCGGCTCGGTTCGACTCCCGATCAGTCCCGTCCGTCCATGTCCGGTCCATCCACTGCCTCGGGCACGTCTAGCCGCAGCATGCTAATGATTGCGACGGGCGGCGGCCGTCTAGAGCCGCCCCTCAGCGGGCGATGACCGTCGGGCGGGCGCGGGGGCGGTGGGGGAGGTAGCTGGACACAGCTGTTCGGCCCATCGGCTGACGGTCCAGCCGGCGTCATTAGATCCCCAGGTTTGGACAGGTGATTGGTTCTGATTGCGCCGAACTGACTGACGATGGTGGGTGCGGCACAAAAGGTAATCGGCCGCACGGGTTTTTGTTGATGTTTGCGCCGCCGGTGCTGCAGAATTGCGTGGGTGATTGCCCACGTGCAATTGCACGGTCATTGCTGGTGTGATTGAAGGTTTGTTTTCTGATCCGGACGTCCGTTTAAATTGAACTGTGTTTGTCGGCTTGTTCGCCTGACAGACTGCTGAGCGAATCGCTGAATATTTCTCAACGAACCAAACAGCATCGTAACAAAATTCCAATACTCGTAAATGTGGTCAGAAGAATTATCGTCTGGCACGTTGAGCTAAAAAAGATATACAAGTAAATAGTGCGATTAGATATCGCTGCACCTGGCAATTCTAATCGGTTCCAAAACCCGATTAGGAACTCAACTTACTCAAGCTCATTGGTCTGATCCAGATAAATCAACCACAGATGCCTTCTTCCCCAAAACCTTTTGATGAGGCGAATGCCATTAACTTGCCGTGCTCTGGATCCCACGCACTTCAGCATGTCAAGGAAACTGAGCCGGATTTTGCCCAAAGTCAAACAGCCATGGGGCCGACAAAGGGCCGACCCAATGAAGGACACCTTAAAAAGTCGTCAGACGTCATCAACCACGCAGTGTTTGATAGCCAGGAAAGGCTCGCCTGGCTCGTATCATCCCACGCGCGGTGTGTACTCATGCCCACAGATCCGGTTTGGTTTAGCGACCGGGTCACTGAAGGCAGTCGAAAGTGACCGCACTTATCAGGTGCAAATGGGGCCCACAAGGGTTGGGTGAATGGACTTGGGGTGTGGTGGTTACGACGCGATGACATGACGATTGTACTAATTGCCTCTGCTAGAAAGGTATAATTAACTAATATACGCGTCATTATTGTGGCAAAAACTTTGACGAAGGGACAGACAAGTGCGAAGTCAACATGACAATGAAACATGACTCAGTGATTGGTAATATAATCTGCTTGTGCGTGCATATTAATGGATACTGTGCAGTGGCACTTAAAAAAACGAGGTGTTAGTGTTATATTTACAGCTTACTCTGCATTGTTTTGTGATTTTATAACTAAGATGCTAAGCACGGATGACATTATATAAGCAATGTTGACATGTGATCATGTCACGCCAGAAGCCCGCCTCATGCCGCGCTGCCCGCATCTCTAACCATGCTCTCGTTCTTTCCAGAGTCGTCGACGTGGGGCCGCCGGGTGGGCCGCCGTCTGTCTCGTCTGACCCGGTCGGGCAGCAGCGAACAGATCAGCGGCTCCAGCAGCTCGGGACGACGGCGGTGGCGCGTCTCCGACTCGTCCAACCGCGACCCCGACACCCATAGTCTGCGCTCGGAGCGCCGGGTCCGGCTGGATCGCGTCGAGAGCATCCGCAACCTGTTCCGTCTGCCGGTGATCCCCCGGCGCGCCGCCGCTCACGGGGGTCACGCAGGTCAGGGGTTCAGGGAGAGACGCGGCTCGGACGCCGGTCTGCCTCCGGAGCCAGCAGAGACGCCCCGACAGTCGAGGCCGGTCAAACGCAGCGTCAGTCTCTACAAGAGCGCCTCCACCAGTCAGCTGAATGTCACCCCGCCCACCATCAAGGACCTGAAGAAGCAGTCGTCTAGAACGCAGAACGCCGCCTGGAACCAGCCTGCCTACCTGCCAACAAAGACCATGAGTTGTGAGAACATGGTGGATGTTGGCGAAAAGCGGGTACCGGGCTCCGAGAGAACTTCCAGACGAGGAGCAGGGGAGTCGGCGGGAGAAGGAGGCGGCTCAGCTGCGCGGAAAGGGAGGATGACTATCGGTGACATCAGGTCCCGCAGTCACGAGGGTGTCCTGGGTGGCTCCCGAGGGCGACGGCTACCTCAGGCGCACGAGATCAACAAAACAACGCCAGCCGGAAGCCGAACACAGAGTCCAGAAAAGGCGCCTGCTGTCCCGCCTTCACCCTCTCCAAGCAGCTCTCGGATCGAGAAATCCGCGAAGCTACCAGACAATTCTAATGTGATAAAGACGGGCCCGCGGAAGCTGCCCCTGAACCATGCTTGCTCTAACGAGAGTGGATATGACAGCGATGGTACGAGACGTGGCGAGGAGTCACCTTCCGGTAGCACCCGGGGGATCAACGCCAGGCGCTCCTCAGGAGAAGAGAGTCCCAGTGGCTCCACCAAGAGCTTTGGTGATGTCAGCTCAAGTTCACTCGAAGCGACGCGATTGGGCACTTCATCTTCGGATGATGAGTTCAACAAGCCACAGGGAGCCCGACCTAAAACATACAACAGCTCGCGAAGTCAGGAAGACGAGTCACCTTTCGCTACCCAGGATAATGATACGATTCTGCGGCAGCCGAAAGACAGGAAGGTGATGGATGTGAATGGTATCCAGATCAGCACCGAGAAGATTGTTGCTCAACGCAGATATATGCAGTACAAGAAACGTCCAACGAAGCCTCCAAGGAAGTCACTCGCGAAAGAAGAGAACAACGAACTCTCATCTCCGACATCACGGCACTTTGACCATGGCTCTTATGAAGAGATCTTGTCAGAACCGGAGCTCATTCACTCTGCCAGACATCCAGAGGTACCCCGTCGGAAGCGGAGTGTCGAGAACCCGCGCGAGCTGTACCACTTCCCTGGGCTGCGTCCCGAGCGACGGGACCTACCGGACTCCGGGAGACCGCCCCGCTACGCGCAGCCCCGCTCCCGCTCTGAGGGACACCCTCGCCAGGAGAGCTATCCACAGGAGCGGGTGAACAGCTACCATCATCCGAGACTGGAGAACTATCCGCCCCAGCGTCTGGATGGGTTTCCAGTGCCTTTCGGGCATCCGTCGGACCCAGGGGTGCCGAACCGGGGCCGGATCCGGATGGGGACCCGCGAGGCAGCCCGCGAGCCGGGCCGGCCGCCAGCCCGACCCCGGTCTACGGGTCACCTGGTGGCGGCCGGCGGCGGTCCGACAAGCCCGGCAGCGCTGCCCTCACTGCCGGCTGACTTCACCAACAAACAGTTCAAGATGCTGCGCGTCAAAAAGGCCGACGGAGACTCACTCGGGATCTTCATCGCCACGAACAGCAGTCACGGTTACCTCATCGCCGAGATGGAGCCCAACGGCGCCATAGCCAGGTAGGTGTCCCCAGTCCCTAGCTTCTCGGCTTCTCGGCCTTTCAAAACCTCTTTGGTTTAATGCAGAGTTGAATCTAGAAAATAACCCAAACATTCGAAAACGCGAACTCATCAGGCGCAGACTGCTAAGAATAGGTGACATTTATCATACGGAACATAAACGAATGTTCACCGTTAACGAGCTGCAAAGCAGATATGGCTTCGGGCATTTTCTGATGTGGCAAGCGCTGTTGCGTAGTGTCCCCAGCCATATCAGCAGAAAACTCGCACGAGACAAGCCTGGCAATGCCGAACCACTGGATAGCATTATAAAACTAGAAGAAGCTGGCAAAACGGCGCAGTGGTCATATAATATCCTGCTTAAGAACTCCAATCCCACCAGTCCTACCAACAGTCAACTTAAATGGAGCAATGAACTGGCTCTTAATCAGAGCTTTGACTGGGAGAAAGCATATAGTCAACTGTATTCAAGTACATCGGACTTCAAGCTCAGGTGGCTCCAATTTAGAATATGGCACAGAATCATCCCTACCAATGCTCGTCTAGCGATTTACGGGATACGGGAGACAGACGACTGCGACAGGTGTCCGGGCATAAGGGAGTCCATCCAGCATATTTTCATTCAGTGTCCCGTAGTCGTTAAATTCTGGAGCGATTTCCGCAGTGCTCTAAGAGTAACTGTGGGAAGGCCAACGATACTTTTGAGTGAACCAATCCCAGATAGCCACCTTTCAAAGCAGGTATTTTACGTTCTTATTCTTCTTGCAAAATGGTATATTTGGAGTTGTAAACAACTTAACTTTATTCCTCATTTTAAAGGCTTTACCTCATGCGCGCTTGACTATATTGCAGTAGAAAGGTGTATCGCGAACACGGTAGGTCATATTTCAAAGTTTAATCATAAATGGTCGAGGCTGATCGAGCTTCTCAAGAACAGCGAACGTCCGCCTTAGTTAGACACTAACAGTTACCAGGGGAGGGGAGGGAAGGGGGGGGGGCGGCGGGGAGGGAACAGCAAAAGGGAACAGCACCGGCCACGGTAGTGAACCGAAGGCAATGTTATGGTCCCGCGCCCATTCAGATACCGGGGGGCCACTGACAGGGGCAGGCCCAATTAGCCGTGTCGTGTCCTAGGAGCAAATTTTGAAACTTGGCGTAATGCCAGGCACTCGGCGCGTCCGCTAAGTTACCGTCTGTCCCATACGTGTCGCTAAGATCGTTGTTTGAAATGGGAAATGGGCTATGATGAGAACTTTGCAAAGGTAAGAGGGACTAGCGAACATGAATCAGCCACCGCTCCTATGACCCATCCGGGCCAACCCGGGACCGGTCTCTTTGACTGGGGCCGGTCGGCCGGCCGGGCGTGCGGGGCGCCGGCCCTACAAGTCGACGGCTCGCACGCCCGGCCGGTGGATAGGGGGAGCCGCCCGCGATACCGTTCGCCGGGCGGCTCGGGCGGTGGCTGATGGCCCTTGTGGGACTGTGGAATGTGGATGTGAGCGGGCTGTTTGAGCGGTCTGTTTGTCAAGTGGCTATGTAAATAAACGTTGAAAAAAAAAAAGCTTCTCGGCCTTGTATGGCAGCCTGGCGATTACAGATGATAAAAACAAGCGGCGCTGAAAGTATACAGCTTTTAAATCCGTTGCAATGACAAGACCATTGTGTGTTGTTTTGCGCAAATAATGTATAACTTGATTGCATCCGTCCTGTTACATGTGTCAGTCATTCCGGTCTTTCTGTAATAGCTGAAGAGGCTAACAAGAAGAAATATGCTTATGTTGTAACATTTGCAATCCTTTATATCTTACGTGATGCTTTTTGTGCTGGTCATGATACACTGAAGGTTACGAATCTCACTCATTCATTTAATTTACCTTGGTTCTCATGGAGGATGATAAGCTTTTATGGTGGAGACTAATTATTGTGCTCATTTCAGGGACGGCCGTTTCAAGGTGGGCGACGAACTGGTGAACGTGAACGGACGTCGGCTGCGCGGCTGTGCTCTCGAGTCGGTGCTGGACGTGCTACAGGACCCGTCGCCCGAGCTGGACATTGTCATAGCGCGCGACTTCCACCCGGACCGGCTGCAGCCGGCCGCGCCGCCGGCCGGTCAGCACGTGGTGGTCATCTCTGTACCGGACACGAGCGGCGGCGGCGGCGGCGGCGGCGGCGGCGCGTCCGGCTCTCGGGACGAGCTGCTCGACGAGCCGGACGACTCGCTCGAGTACCCGGCCACGGGCTCGGAGCCGTACGACGCCTCCGAGGGGGACGAGTACCGGCGGCCCGAGTCGGTGCTGTCGGCCGTCTCGGGCTACTCGGTGTCCAGCGCGCAGTCGGTGTCGTCGGTGCGCGAGCTGCTGCGCCGGCGGCACGAGCAGAGGGCCGGCGCCCGATCTGCCAGCTCAAAGACCGGCCGGCGGCCCAAGTCGCTCACCACTGCCCTCCTTACCGTCAAGTTTGAAAAGGGAGCCGGCAAGAAGAGTCTTGGGTTCAGTATTGTTGGAGGCAGGGACTCGCCCAAGGGCAACATGGGAATCTTTGTGAAGACGGTGTTTCCCAATGGACAGGCAGCAGAGGACAACCGGCTCAAAGAAGGTTTGTAATTGGTATATGTTTAATGGGCAATTACATCACTGTAAATAAATAATCGTTGACAGTTCCCGACGGAGCACGCTATAATGGCCATGATGCAATAATCATCGTGAAGCTTTTCGTCATCGGTATATAATTTTCCTTTTTATTCTTTCATGCTTAATTATAAAACCAGTATAACGCCTTATGGGGCGACTAACGGAGCGAGCGAGAGGGTGGGCCTTGCACGTGCGAAATTTCGAGGGGGTACCTCCAACTGACTTGTGCACGGCACCCTAGTAACCGGTCTCTAGCGATGTGCCAAATTTGAGCACAATCGGCCCAGCCGTTCTCGAGATCTGGAAGCGGCACCCTGCACGTGCGCACGTGCAAAATGGGTCCCAACTGACTTGTGCACGGCACCCTACTAACTGGTCCCTAACCGTGTACCAAATTTGAGCGCCATCGGTCCAGCCGTTCTCGAGATCTGGAAACGACCCCTGCACGTGCGCACGTGCAGTAGCACCCCAACCTTAACACATGCAGATGAATTATCTGATGGAGACCTAACTGTGTACCGAGTTTCAATTCAATCGGCCCAACCGTTGTGCCGTTATTGAGGTTGCAATTTTGGGGGTTCTTAAAAAATGTCCAACTTTACCACGCGCCACGTGCGGTGGTTGGCAAGAACGCATGGTGGCCATCACACCACAGAACTTTTACGTCCAAGTGACATTCAGTAAAGAAGACCGCTTGTCAATCGGATGTCCCGTTCCTAAGATATTAGCTTTTGAAGAGCGTCCCCACGGCCGGCCGGCCGGCCGGCCGGCCGCTCATACTCAGAAATTTCCGTTAATCTAAGGAAAGACTCCGCTCGCTTCGCTCGCTCCGTAACTAAACTGCAGTTCCATCTACCCTTAGCACTTGGTAAAAACGAACTTTATCTGGCATATACCGTCGCACAAGCCGGGGTCATTAGTTTACACGCTAGCGCCCTAAATGTGGAACAAATCATCCATGTAACCAAGATTTACCAGTAACTAAGATTGCCTCACGATATGTCATCTCCCAAGGCCCTAAGTATGGGTTTCGTTCAGCCGTGACACGTTAACAAGCATTGCCAGCCCCGGGGCGCAGCTCCTCGCCGACACACAGTAGTTGGCCCGTCAGCCAGCTGGCGGAGTGGTGACGTCATTAATTACGTCACTGGGGTGTCGGTGGCGGGTCACCGGCGAGGGCCGGACCTTGACCAGTGACCCTGGTGGGGGAGGGGGAGGGTCCGCGCTGTCCATCGGTCAGCCGCCGGTCATAGCCGCCGGCCAGGCTGATCAGTTAACAGCCCGATCAGTCATATCCACTGGCGGCAATCAGCCGTATTTGGGCGCTAAATGGAGCCACTGTCGGCCAACTGCGCAGCCTTTCGACACGCCAATCATGGACCTGTCGGCGGAATGACATCCCGAGTCGGCGCCCCGCTGAGGTGACGAGAATAACCCGGTCAGATGGGCAGATGGTCGGCGGAGGTCGCCTCATTTCGGCGATATGAACTCAGACAGGGTGGGCGGGATAATGCGATGTGGCTGTGTTGAAGCAGAAATCAGTCAGTGGTCGTCGTAAGCATCTTTTTTTCCTTGTCAGCACACCTATTCGCTCCGTGCTGCCGTCACTATCGTACATCAATGTTGGCCATGCGATATCGCATAACTCTGTCATTCTGATCCATTCCCAGGTGACGAGATTGTGGCAGTGAACGGTGAGAGCATGCAGGGCTTGTCGCACGGCGAGGCCGTGGTGGTGTTCAAGTCGGTCCGATCCGGACAGGTGATCCTCCATGTGGCCCGCCGTGAGCAACCGGCCAAACGGAGGTGAGCGCTCAGAACGGGACAGCTGGAACCGGAAAACGTTACGTAATGACTGTGTAATTTCAGTTTACATTGGTGGTGCTGTTTTCCGCTTCTAGTCTGAACGGTTCTCATAGAATATGCTAAATGTGTCCTGTCACTTGACGAAGTGACTAGCGCATGATGTCATTCACAAGAATTATACACACCGCTGCATGCAGTGTCCACCCTGTTTCTTCAACGGTTACCGCCACAAAAAAGACCCGGACAGAGCATGCATAATTCCGGCGGCTCTCCCACGCGTCAGCTGATATGTAACTCCGCACGCGACATGCCGCCAGCTCACGTAACTTGCTGTGATCGCTGGGAGCTGGCCAGTCATAAAACGCTTAGTTCCGCTCAACACAGCCGGCGGACCGGCTAGAGCCGCTTACATGGGCCACGTCCGGTGGTCGTATGTGCGTCCGAGCCTTTTGTGTGGTGCTATTGTCTGTTGTTCTTCCCCGCTATCCGTTCCGATGTTCGTGTCTGGTGTCAGCAGTGTTCGTAACTCGTATGCAATTTTTCGTATGCGTCCCATATTTTTTCATTTTTTTCTGTGTTTCTGATGTCCTACATATATCAGGTACTTACATATGCGTTGTCCCATGTGTCGACGTGCATTATCCGATCACATTTATACTCGTATTGTCGTATCCGGTGTCCGTGTTTCGATTTCGATGTCCGTTTTCGAATCCAATGTCCGTTGTCGGCTCCGGTGTCTGTGTAGGGGTATCCCTCCCTTTCCGGTGTTCGGTAACTCGGTGCTTGGGCGTCATGCTCCAACCGAGCCCGGCGGTCTGTGGTGGGCGGCCCAGTGCAGTCAGCAGTGCAGTGTTGGCGGCAGGCTGCGTGCCGTTCTGCTGTGGGCGTTGGACGGCGTGCTGGTCTGCGTTGAACGGTGGCCGGCTTGGTGTGCCGGTTTGCGGTGAGCGTCGGGCGGATTGCCGGTGTACCGGACTGCCAGTGTGGCGGTGTCAGGTGGCCAGTGCGCTGGGCGTTGAGCTGGGCAGTGTGCCGGTGTGCCGCGCGGTCTGCGGTGGCTGATGTGCCGCCCGTGCCGGTGGCCGGTCTGCGGTGGCCGGTGTGCCGGTGTGCCGCCCGCGCCGGTGTGCCGGTGGTCGCCTCCCCGGCACCATCTGGCCACGGTGGCGCGCGCCGCCGGATGGGCGGCTGTCCGAGCCCGGATCCGGTGTGGCGGCCGACCGTGGAGCGGCCACGGAACCGAGCGGTCCCACACCGGAACGGCGGCGCGCCCGTGTCGGCCGGCCTCCCGCCGCCAGGTGTGACGGTAAACAGCCAGACAGCGGCGGGCACAGGACAGCCAGACAGCAGTGCAGGGACGTCGAGCACACGAAGAGCACAGGGTAGTCAGACGGAGCACACAGCGGGCACGGGACAGCCAGGCAGCAGCGGAGAGGTGCTGAGCACACAGAGGGGACGACAACCCGCCGCACGGGCTGATAACGATGGAGGCGCGTTAACGATTGACGTCTATTTGTCATAGCGGAAATCAATGGAACGTTTTATCTTTTTTCAGATATTTTTGCCATTTCCTTTCACCATCAGATGATTTATCTTGTTTGTGCACCATTGGTTTAATGAATTAATCGGTAGATCTTCCCAGGAACTCTTTAATGAAAAAAAGCGCTGGGACAATCCCGAGCGCAAAACACAGTTGCACGAACTGTTCCACCACAACACTCGGAAATCCTGTGGCGCTGGCTCTGCCATAATACCGTCTCAGTGAGAGTGATAGTTTTGAATGTCCTCACATGACGGTGATGAGCTGCGCGCCCTTCGATGGCGTGATGAGCTCGGAAGGGAAACTAGTCCACTTTCCTGTCATTTGGCCCGTCGAGGGAGCGAGGTAGCTCGGGTTCCCAGCGCCCCTGTGTCACTCCGATCGTTACTCAGGCTGCGGCTCCCGGAGCGTGACGCTACAACTCTCGGCGGAACAACATCGCGGCGGCGGCGGAAACAGAGCTGTCACAGCGCTATTAGCGTCCCCGGCTCGGCCCGCCTTCGATCCTTCAATTCTCAGTTAGCAAATCAGCCTGCAGGCAATCCCTTCGGCAATCAGACCTTTATGAGCTATCGGCCATCAGACTTTTCTGGGTTGTTATTAGAGTAGACCCTCAGCGCCCAGAGTCTTATAGCTAGGTACAGTCCACAGCAGAAGTAATGTGCGGTTTCAGTCATGGGTATGTTCTGCTTCTGAAGCTTAGGAACGATTAGCCAGACTTCAATGAAACTTTGAATGTAGCTTATATGTATCGTCACCCTTGCAGCTGCAACTTTAGCTATTGACATCTTCTTTTCGATCACTCCGCATTTAACAATCGCCAGTCAAAGCCAACCGTTGAGATTGGTAGAACCCTACATTGCTTTAGCGGTGGGCTGTACCAGCGCCAGCCTCGGCGATGAGACATTCATGAGTCATAGGCTCTCAGTCCTCAGCCCCTCTAGAGTCCGGGATCATTTACGTCTTTCATCCCATCTGAGTCCTCAGCGTCGACCCTAAGGGTCTATACTCTAAAAAATCCTCAGTGCCGACCCTAAGACTATATACCCTAAGAGTCCTCTCAACGTTGACCCTCAGCGCTCAGACTCCTTGATTCCTTGGCGCTCTCGCAGCTGGCCAGTGACCGTCTGAAGAAGCCATGAAGGGCGACACGGGCAAGCTGCGTGTGACATAATGTGCTCACGCCGTGAGAATGGGCCTTTGATGGTTTGACGCTGTATGACACGAGGATGTGAGAAGTAGAGAAAGTGGTGGTGAACATGGTTATATATCTGTTTCGACACATGCAACGTTTGTGGTGGGGCGAGGCATGCGTGCTTTGATCGTGTGGGAATATCGTGATGATTGGGGTAAATTGTGGCTTCTGGACGTTTCCCATCGCCATGTGGGCGCCTTTTTAGCTGGAGCCAGTTATACTGTTTATAAATTGTTTAAAGTACGTCTGACTGCCGAGTCAATGTTTCTGAAACCTCACGGTTATGTCTGCTGCTAAACTTGATGGCAGTGGCTAAATAACATTACTCTCCAAACCCCAGCTTCCGTTGATCAGGCAGTCTCCTTGTATAACCTTTATTGCCGACATCCTTACTACCTGTATGAAATGCGCCATGACTTCCCTGGGAACCCGGCCTGTTCGGACGTCCAGTGGGGCCGATCTCGCCGACCTTCAGAGGCGGGTGCTCCCAGCTGAGACGGTTCCAGCCTCCCAGCGGGGTTTACGGCCGAGTTCATCCCTCTTTAATTGCCCCCGGAGCGTCCCGGTCGACTATTTCCTGCCGACAGCTGCGGCACGACAGATTGGACTCGCAGACGGACCGACCTTGCCCGCGACGGAGATGTTCCAGGACCCAATCTTACCAAATGCCGTGAATGCGCATTCACGGCATTTGGTAGCATTCAGAACTATTCAACATTCACTCATTCATTCGTTCAGGCAACATTCATAATCATTGACGCTATCAAAACCATTGGACAAGATTAGCTGGATGTAAATGAAAAAGATATCTTTGATAGCAGTGCCGTAAACTCCGGCCAGTGCTGCCAAACCCTATTTACGGTATTGGTAAGATTGGGCCCAGTAGTCTCCATGAGATATGCGAGTGGTATTGGTGTGGTCAGACGATAATGAACGCCAAGTATGTATTGAGCGAAAACGTTAGCAAATGAGCGTGTATGGAACAGTCGGAAAGTAGTTTGTATTTCTGCGTTGTGATGCCAGTTTTCTGTTTCTCAGGTCATGGTTCTGATGACAAGAAAGCTTTGCTGACCTTAAACCTCCCATCCTTGCTAAAAGTAGAATCGCACAGTGAATGAAATGACGTAGAGACAACAAAAACTAAGAAACTACTTCAGCATTCAAGTATCCCTGTCTTTCTTGTGATACCCGTCATCATGACCCTGAAAGTGGGCACTACACGTCTCTTTATAGACTAGCTAGCTCAGACCGTCTCCTGCGATTGTCGTGTTGATGGCGACGACAAAACGTCGTTCCGCCTGAGGGCCACTATAACCTCAGACCATCCGATCTTATACGCCACAGACGGAGACGGCGCGGAGACAAGGTCGGGTCACCCGCCGGCGCCTTACTGAAAAGGCGTCTTCTGCCGGTCGGTCGTGCCGCCAACATGGTGTATTGTGTATTGTGCGGCGTGAGCCAAGGCCGTGGGCCATTCACCGGAGGACGGCCGGACTGGGCGTGATAGCCGCGCGGCGGGGCGCCGACACGTGACGTGAGCCGTCTTCGGCTGGTGCGGCTGCCGTGTGCTGCTCCCTGTGTGTGATGTATCGCCGCGTTAATTACCAGGTGTGTCGGTGGGGCCCGGTGGGATGTGGGATTCGCACTGACGCGCTGTCTGTTTCAGGTCGGCCAAGTCCATGTCGTGTGACGACCTTGACCGGGTCGAGGAGTGATTCGACTGAGAAATGAAGCGGCACCTCGAGTGTCGCGGTGACGCTCGGCGGCGGCTCACGAGGTACCGAGAAATGAATGGACTGAGAAATGAACCGTCACAGGGACTGAGACGATGCTGCGACCGCGGGTCGGGCCGGTACATCCATAGGTGCGGAAGAGACATGAAGTGCTAGGTATAACAAATGTGCTAGGTAAGATGATTAATACACTCTTTTGTCTTGAATTTAATCTTCATGATTGAAACTCATGCTTTCAATACAATTCTCTCACATCGCCCACTAGCATCGCAATGAAACAATTCATTTCGTTCTTTAACGAGATATGCGCTCGATCTGTTATTTTGCTTCCGATCTCTTTTCTCGCCTGAGTAGCTTCTCCCATGACCAGTAGCATGATAGTCCGCGTATATTGTTTGATTGAACCATTTTGTGTGGTGCAATAATGCTACGTGACAGGTTTCAAGTGAACTGAAAATGATTGCTAGCTGGTAAAGGCTGACACTGTGAAAGTGTGGACACTGATGTGTGTACTGAATTTGCGGAACAGAATGTGTTTGGATTGTTATTCTGCGATTGTTATGTTGGTCAACAACGCGTCTTTCTTCGTGTATTGTACTTTGTGGTCATGCTCATACTTTTTCATTTTAATATGACTTAGTTTCCTTCATGGTAGCCTGGAAGTTCAATAATATGTGTAAAATTGTACAGATGATCGTATGAACCATACTCGAATTAACAAGGAAACAGTATATCATTTGTGTAAACGTTTACTTTGAGCGTGTGTTGTAATTGGCAGTGGTGTTGTACATACTTAGAAAGTGAATATGATGCAGCAATGTTCAGGTATAATGCGTTCTGTTTCTTTCCTGCCTTGGCCCGTCCTTTATTTGTCTATCACTGGATGTCCATCGGTTGTGTGCTGAGACAAATACAGAGGCTAGACGATATCACGATTTTTTGTTACTGATGCCATGCGAAATAAAGAGGCGGGGAGCCATTTGTATCGCATTCTTCAACCCTATTACTGGTGGGCTCTTCAGACTACGTTAACTGGGGGGGGGCGATTCGCCCGCTCCCCCCCCTTAATAGCTCGAGAACAAAATGTCCGATCTTAATAGGACAAACGCCATTCGATTCCCTCATTGTGAACTTTTAGATTGGCTATAAAATGTTGAAAAAAGTTCAAAATCGGGGGTCCTGAAAGAAAAGTTTTCGGAAAAAATTGCGTTTTACACCTCATCACTAAAAATGCTCTAACTTCTTTCTTTTTTGACCGATTTTGATAAAACTTTAGAGGACCCTTCTTCATGAACTGGGCCTTCATATATATTTCGGTATTTTGGATATTTCAAAAATCATAGGCGAATTCAGGCAAGCTAGCTTGGGATGATGTTTTGAGTTTTTGTCATTGTATGTCATGTGTCTTATGGCATGATGTGTCATATATCATGTAAAATATGCAACGTGAGCGCAAAATACACGCTTTCGTTCAGCATAGGCGGATTCAGGCACGCTACGACAGGGGCAGTACATTGATGTTACCCTTTTTCTCAGGTACCTGGATCCGCCTATTCCAATATTTTCATTGTAAAATGACATCACATAGTCATTAGGTGCATACATATGACGGGTGGTGCCACTAATCACCAGTACAAACCTAAGTAAAGTCGCTGCTTAGCGGCAAATGTCGGAACAGTCAAAGCTGGACCAAAACTACCCCCAAGAAACTCGTCCTGGAGACGCCTTTGCGCAAGCTAGAAATTCAAAAATTTTATACAATGTGCCCAATGAACAGCAAGGAAAAGTCACCAAATTTCGAGTCCCTAGCTTAAGTGGTTTTCCGTCGAGAGCAAAAAAAAACTACAGGTGGGGGCTGATTCGCCCCCCCCCCCCCCCCACCAGTAATAGGGTTACCTTCAACTCGTTACTGAGCCACGTAGTGACGATTGCGGTTGACGGCGTACGGAATAGCGTCGAAAACATCAGGTACTGTTGTCATTTTAGATGCGCTCAAAGGTCCGACACCAGAGGTCATCAAACAGCAAGGTTCGCGACTTTGACTTTTTTGACAAATTTACTCACAGTAAAATAGAAATGCAATAATAGATAGTTAGAATAGGGCTTGATCATCAGTGCAAAGCAGTCGTTAGCTCTTTTGAAAATGTTTACCAAGCCTTCAGATTTGTCCTAAGCACTACGGTTTTTTCAATAGGGAAAAAGTTATCAATATTTAAGTTTTTGGGAAAAATTTACGATACCGTATGACACGAAGTTTGATTTAACAGTATCGTGTTTGTAACACATACCTACCTTTAACGCGTCCAATGGCTTATAAGTTGACCTTATAAGACCAACAAGAAAATATGAGTACCTAAGACTCGGAATAATATTGAATGACATCGAGTAATAATAATGAAAATGCAGCTCCTAATCAGGAATGCAAGGCATATCGGGTCTTTGAACATGATTCTACCGGATCTCATTTCTAAAGTCGTTACATAGAGCTCTGACTGTGCTGGACTCCCAGCAACCACGCACGAGAGACGCCGGCTCTTTTTTCTGACGGCTGGGCGGCGAATCTGGCCGATCGCCGGAGATGAGGCGCTGATGGCCCGGTGACGCGACCTGCCGACACGGGGTCGCGACCCGGCGCACCACTCTCGCTTTCGGAGCCGGTCGGTCCGTGTATGGGCGGCGGCCGGAGAAACTGGTCCGGTATAGACCCACCGATCAGTGAGAGTGGTCCTTCGTGCGCTCCGCACTGCCCTCCAGTCGAGAGAGGGGTGGTTTGCGGTCCAGGGGTCACGTCTGATAACGGACAGGTGAACTGGCGAGCAGTCGGAACTCATATAAAAGTTGTAAGTTGTATGATAGCAAAGCTAGTGATCTAGATGACTAAAAAGGCAGGTCACATGTTCTAGTAATCTTGGTCACATCATTGGTTTGATGAACACTAACGTGAAGATTCGTTCACTTATACATTTGGTACCTACATGCTCCGGTCGATCTATCCGGTGTTATCTTCTTATAGCGACTGCAGTCTCTGAGACAAATTCTGGTGTTATGCTCTTATGCTTCACTGCAGTCTCTTGTTTTGGCATACCTACTCCGTCCAAGCATTGGGGGATTCAGCGTGTGGGTTACGTCTATACGAGCAGTATCTTATCTTCGACACGACTCAAAATAACATGAACTAAAGTATGATCATTAGAGTGCGAACTGCTTCCCAATCAAACACGATACGTCGATCGGCATCGCAGGTATCCATGCGTTCATTGCGTTGGGACCCGACGTAAATATACAGGACGCATTAAACTAAACCCCACTTTTATCACGCCTCTTGACCCCGCACATTACCGTAGGGCATAAGCCGACCTAACACACCCCATATTACGCGGGCATCGTAAGCAATGGCTGGGAACTTATACTGCGAAAAGGCTTCGACAAAGTCACATCCGTCTTCGCTAATCACAGTTCGGCCCAAGGTTGTGCTGACAAGCGCTGCCGTTCTTTACACTTTTACTGCTGTGTTCCCATAATCATACATCAGCCACTACAGGCGGGGCACAATGCAGGCCGTGTGTTATGAACGTATCACATTGCCGGGGTGAATGCGTCGGTGGACCGCAATGGATGCCGCCGTCCGATACGGACCCGCCGTGATCTGGGGGTCATCAGATAACCTCTGCCCCGGACCGACGACGGCACGAATACAGAGCGACCACACCTCGGTCAGGGTCCCACCTCTCCCTGCCTCTGCTCTCTCTCTCTCTCTCTCTCTCTGTCTCTCCCTCTCTCTCTCTCTCTCTCTCTCTCTCTCTCTCTCTCTCTCTCTCTCTCTCTCTCTCTCTCTCTCTCTCTCTCTCTCTCTCTCTCTCTCTCTCTCTCTCTCTCTCTCTCTCTCTCTCTCTCTCTCTCTCTCTATCCTGCCTTTTCTGTTTCTCTTTCGGTTTTGTTCGGTCAGGGCATATATAGCAGTGGCTCGTTTCTTACTTCTTCAATGCTTATGAATCTTGTATCCCACAATACAAGTTGCCAAAAGAAGAAAATAAATTATTTCTTCAATGATTATCTCTCTGTTATAGACTTATGGATCCCAAAGGCAAAATTAAGTCGTGGCGAGGGTACGTTTTGTTAGGTTTGATTAATGCTCGATCAGATTTGTGTATCCCTACTCATCTTGTTCTCAAAAGTGTGGTACTTTACCGACAAGGATCAAGATCGTAACCGACGACATAGACCTATGCAATATGCATGCAAGATAGACTACAAAGTTAAGAGCAATATATGTAATGATGCGGCAGCTACAATCGAACGAAATAGAGCCTACGTGTTTTGTCTATTAGTGGAGCTCATGCGCGAACTCCAAAAAGCAATTACACTGCGAGTCGTTAGCCGTTATCTGTCGGTAAAATCTCGCGCTCGCTCGCGTCTCTGCGCTGTTCGATCACCCGGCGGGAGGCTCTCGCCGCCCAGGTGACCTCTGTGCCCCTCCCCGGCCCGGGACCCGCCGGGAAGTGAGGCAATCGGCCGGCCCAGTCCCACGGGAGGAGATGGGTAGACGCGAAAATGACGCATAATGTGGCGACGGCCGATGGCGGACCGACGAGAGCGAAAGTCTCTCGGCTCGCGCACCAGATTAACAAAGGCATTTGTCGGTGCTCGAGTGGATGTGACGTAACCTGAGCTGAGGAATAAATGAATCTTCTCAAAACGCCGCATGTAAATACTCCCCCGTTCGTAGTCACTCGGTGAAAACGAAAGTCGGATGGTAATTCGATGAGCCAGAGGCAGCATCCGTGGTTATGTTAAACGCTAGTGAAAACAGATTTGTGCATTAAAATAGAAATGTTGTGGTTGTGTGCGCGCACTATGGGCCCGAGTGAATGTGGTGCGGAGTAATCTTCTGACGAGCGTGCCCTAATGTTCCGGGGCGGACGCAGCGGGTGCCGCGGCCCACGGCGCAGAGATGACGTTTCACTTTGATGATGTGGTCCATATGAGCTGAACGACAGCGTCCAGTGGTTTTGGTCATGCTTGGTAAGAAGTTGACGCGCTATAAATCGTTTCGTGCTATATTTAGTAACATTGCCAAAAGGAGTTCACAACTAACCCTCATAAAACATGGCATGCAGCGAACACTGGAAACCTTTAAAATTTGATGAACATTTCAGCGATTAACATTTCATAAGAGATTAGCATGCTTTAATACAACATAAATGGCACTCAACATCATTTTACACTCCAGCGTTATATGAAGCATATTCGATAAAACACTAGCCGATCATTGTTCATATCGAGACACGCATAAGTAATTAATTCGACTGATCTGAGATCATCTCATCACCTCCATGGCCCGCCCCAGATCACAGACAGTCATGGCCCGTTCAGATAGGCAGTGTGAGCACGAAACCGTAACAGACCAACTTCACGGCCGGCAATGGCGGTCCGTTTCTCCGGCCATCAAATCAGTTTCATGAACGATGCCGTGAGGGCTCGTGACGACGCTACGGTGCTCCTTAGCGCCCTTGACCGGCTCGGTCCGATCCCACCGCCGTCGACGCGGCGACCAGTCGCTGGTCTGGAGGTCAGGTCAGGCCAGCAGCTCTGAAAGAAGGAAACAGGTTAACAATCAATAGATAAAGAGCATTCGAATTACCTTTATGACAGTGCCATTTCAAAAGGTGCAAAATATTCCTATATGAATTATAGCTAAGGCATCATTTCTACCCAAGTCATTAACAGTTTTCAAACGGTCTCCGCTAGTATTAATGATTATTTGTAATGATTGGTCATCATTTTAAAGGTGCTTATACGATTTTGTGTCTGTGACCACCATTTAGCACTGTTACACAATCCAACAACCTAAACATTACTACAGCAATAAACCACCAAGGCTCCCCGCTGAGCAATCAAGACATTGATTATGTCATTCTCTGATTGGCGCCCCAGTCGCCTTTTTTACGACCAATCAAACCAGCGGCACCGATTGTTCGCCCGATGATCATACATTTTTCATCCTGGCGGCGTTTCCCAGGGTGGCGCCCTCGGCCCCGTGATTTTCACTGCTGAGCGCGCAGCAGGTTGTCACAGGACTTGGACATGGATTGTCTGAAACGGCAGAGACGGAACCGGCGTGAGAACTCGACGGTCGACGGTGACGGTGGTCCGTTACTCCTCAGTGGCTCGTCAGTCAAACGAACAGAACGTCGAACGAACAGGCGATCAGAACAGATTGACGATGATGAACAGTGAACCAACAGAGGGGGTGAAGACTGGAAGTGAGAAAAGGAGCATTTCATTGCAGATCGTGACTGGTGAGAGAATCAACAATAGAATATGGCGCTGGTGACATTATTATGGCTCGGCTGATGATATAGGGTGGTATAAACTGATATTGATAGTCCAATGTTTCCCATCCATTCATATTTATTGACACTTGAATCAGTCGGATCCCGCGATGTCCTAAAGTGCAAAACCGTAACACTCATACACTCGCCCCAGTCGTGATTCTACGATGACACCCTTCATCTAGTTCCCAGTTCAGACAATAAACTACAGCACACCTGCATATTAGCCTCATCGTGCCAACTGTGCTATTTGCGTTAATAGCCCACAAAGGTTAATCGTCACAAACGTGTCGGTGTCTGAGAAAGAGAAAGTGTTACGTCACCGGGTGTCAGACCGGTGATACGGGCCGGGCCCGAGTGTCGGCGCCTGTCGGAGAAGTCATTGGTTTGGAGTCGTGACGGTAGGGCACGGAGCGGGCCGAACCAGACCGCACTCGGTAATAAGGTGAATCTAACAGCGTATTATCCAGTGTTTCAGGCGGCTGATGCTTTTAATCGAAAGAAAATGAAGTCTTGCGTTTATCGTTCGAAGCTTATTAGATATTGATTATCAAATGGCACGACTCTGGGCAATGACCATGCTCGAGAGGCTTAAATTTTATCAGGCATATTTTTGTTTATTATTCCCGCAAAAGCCAAAATGCTAGAGAGCGACCGTTCATTGAACAAAGGCTTCTCGTGGCTAAAACTGGATATTCAACTAGGCATCTGTCAAAGAGCGAAAATTAAGTTTTTTCCATAGGCAAAACGCGTAAACTTTTAGTTGGTTGCTGCCAAGCATCAAACCTTTTGATACTTCTTTTTGACCATTTTTTATGTCTAAACATCATCAAAATACTGTCGCTCGATATCGCACTCGGCGACTGCAGCGTCAATGCACTGTAGCGTGGCCGTATATATAACAGTACAGCTCGTGAGCGCCGAGCCGAGCTGGGCGTGCGTCGTGATCCTGATCGTCCCAGATGCGTCCCATTGCGTCACCGTGAGCAGCGGAAGCACACGAGCGCGGAGATGGGGTACATGTCGATATAGGAGATCGGTTTGAAGGCGAGGGAGGAGTGCTGGCTAACTTGAGAGAAGCACAAGGTTTTTTTAGCCTGTTTCATACATTTTCCTGACCTAGCATAGTGACTTCTGCAAGTTATAGGTACAGATGACATGTTCCTCCGGCCCTGATGTATTATGTCCAGTTAGAAATTCTTTATTTCGCATTCCCGTTTTGCTTTCTTGGATGCTTCCTTCTGACCAATTTAGACTGGCTTGTGGCCATGGGATGAGAGGATGAAGGGCAGACATTGGGTTGATACGATTTCGAGTTGGTGAGTCGCAGCAACAGCTCCCGTGAATACGAGGGCTGATGGAATAGCTACTTATTTTGGGTGTGATATGTCCGTCTAAGGTCGCCTAGCCGTTCAAAAAGGTTACTCTGCACGGATGTGTTTCGATAGGACCTAGAAAAACATTCAAAATGATCGTTTGTCGTCCTGTAGGAACAGGATTCTTCAACTCCGTATGATACAATGTCGTAAGGAAGGGACCGGGCCTCGAGCACGCTGACATCTGGTGGCCAAAGTTGGTGCCCTCAGTTTGGCCTATTCGCCACTGGTGGCAGCACCAGCGGAGCCGGCTCCACCACTCCGCCGCTCACCGGTCGTCACTACCCTACCCAGTAGGACAATGCACTGCAAATTCACCGGACAGCGGAGACTTCCCCACTCGACTTCAGTGTGAGCCCCAACTGACCTGGCGATGGAGGGTCGGCTGACCGCGGCGGGGTCCCTCCTGGCGACCTCCAGGGTCACTGTCCCAGACCGTACCGACTTGAACAGGGTGACCGCTTCGCTGTGAAGCAGTCCCTGCATGCTCTCACCATTGAGAGTCAGAACCTCATCACCTGTGGAGGAAAATATTGGTGTCTCTATAGTCTATAGACTGTTCTATATCCACCAAACAGAGAGATTTGTACACCATTCGCATCATCAGCAGACAGCTGAATGTCGAAAAGCGCGATATACCACGAACAATGGGCATGCTTTTATACAAGACAGTTTAAAAACAGATTCTGTTTGATGAACAGGCGATAACTTTAAGGCCGTTATGCAAAGCCAGCATTTTTCGTGCGCAGTCCAGTAATAAGATGCTGTTTTATATATTTGTATAGGTCTATGGTCAAGCACTCAATGCCTTATCACAAGAGTAGTCAAATATAGTCCAAACCACGCTGCAGAAGTGTTATGTTTTTGGTTTTGTTTGCCTCTTTTACTTAAACCAAGCCCAACATTTAATTCATTAACCAGATCTCAGAGGTCAGCAATTGGCAGCTACCTTTAAGTTCGGTACCGTCTGTTGTCTCGTAACGGCACGGCCATTTCGCAGAGCTCAAGATCTAGCGAAAAGGTCAGCGGGGGATAGCGAGCGGCAAAGTCCTTCCCTTCGGCCCTTCAGAAAAAGTATGCAAAAAAAAGATAGGCCTTTGTAAAACCTTCATACAAAATGTATATGTAACAAAAAAGAAACTGACCTTCCATAAGTTTGTCAGCCGCCTGTCCGTTGGGGAACACCGTCTTGACAAAGATGCCCATGCTGCCCCTGGGTGAGTCCTTGCCTCCCACAATGCTGAAGCCGAGGCTCTTCCTTCCGACGCCCTTCTCAAAGGTCAGCGTCAGCACGGAGGTGGCCAGCGACTTGGGCCGGCGCAGGGTACCTGAGGCGGACCGGCCGGAGCGCTGCCCGTGCCGGCGGCGCACCAGGTATTTGGCCAGTGAGGGTGACTGAGAGCCCGCGCCCGACAGCTCCGAGACACCAGACACCGTCGACTCGGGCCGCCGGTACTCGTCCGCCTCAGAGGCGTCGTACGGCTCCGAGCCCGTGGCTGGGTACTCGAGCGAGTCGTCCGGCTCGTCGAGCAGCTCGTCCCGAGAGCCTGACGCGCCGCCGCCGCCGCCGCCGCCGCTCGTGTCCGGTACAGAGATGACCACCACGTGCTGACCGGCCGGCGGCGCGGCCGGCTGCAGCCGGTCCGGGTGGAAGTCGCGCGCTATGACAATGTCCAGCTCGGGCGACGGGTCCTGTAGCACGTCCAGCACCGATTCGAGCGCACAGCCGCGCAGCCGGCGTCCGTTCACGTTCACCAGTTCGTCGCCCACCTTGAAACGGCCGTCCCTGAAAAAAATAAATAAAGTTACACCTTAGCTTTGATGGAAATGTATAGAAACATGTCTACTAGGGAGAAGGCCAATGCCGATGCTTCTGCAATGCCGTACGTTACGAAACAAATCTCCATAAGAAATGTTAGTTTTTATTAATATATGCTATATAAAAACACTGTGAGTAGACGTTTAAGCCCTAACGTTATGCATTTATCCGTTAAAATGTCCCATTCCCTCTTGTCTGCGGCGTCATCGCTGCTTAAATCATCTGATATGACCACTTTTACATCATCAGTGTCATTCGTCAAGCAGATGCTATCATCAGAAGACCATGTAACATAGCCGCGACAACTAGCTTATTCCGAATGACCTCTCCAAGGTAAATCCTGGTTGTGGTTTTCAGCATAAATTATTGCACATACCTGGCCAGAGTTCCTCTGTGGTCCATCTCCGCGATGAAGTAATCCCGGGAGGTATTCATCGCTATGGAGATCCCGAGGCTGTCTGTCGAACTGCGTCGGATCCTCAGCAGCTTGAACTGCTTGCTGCTGACGTCTGAGCCGGCCTCTGACCGCGCGGGTCGGCTGTGTTCCTCTGTCCTTCTGGCCGGGTGCCTCTGAAGCCGCTCCGTGTCGCGCGGCGGCGGCCCCAGGCGCGTGTGTCGGTGACCGAAGTTGAGCGGCAGCGCCGACAGCCTGTCGCGGCGCGGGTCGAAGTCTGGCCGCACCGGGGGCTTCCTGATTCTCCTGCTGTCCTCGTCAGGGACTGACAGCTGGGAGCCGGAGCCGAGTCGGATGTCGTGGGAGGAAGTGGAGAGGTTCCGGTGCCGACTGCTGAGGGCCGGCCGGGAGACGTGTCTCTGACGGACAGAACCCGTCTCCGGTTCACCGTGGCGGGTCAGGGATAGAGCGGAACTCAGGTGTCCCCGGCTGGTCACCGGGGACGGGTCAGGAAGCCGGGTAGGGGTCGGTGACCGGCTGCTGCAGCCAGGCTCGGAGCGTGCCACCGAGCGAGGGTGGGAGCGGTCCCGGTGACGGCGCGACTCGGCAGTTTTCGATCGCAGAGTCGACGAGTCGTGACCAGAGTAGCCGAACAGGGCTGGACGGGGGTCGGAGGAGCTGACGGGTTTCCGACGCTGTCGCCGCATGGTTCCACTGTGCTCGGAGTGCTGCGGGCTGTGTCCGTCCCTGGTGGGGAGTCTGCTGGGAGTTCGATGGTCTCTGGTGGAGTTAGAGACGTTCAGGTCGCTTCTAAGCTCGCTCGTGTGATGTTGCTGGCTCCTGTCGCGAGTCAGTTCCATGCGGAAAGTGGCGTATCCAAAGCCTGGCTCGGTGTAGCGATGGCTCCTAGATTTAGCAGCATCTGAAGAGTGTGGATTGCGTTGCCTTCCTTCATCATCATAATAGGAAATAACACCTTTGTGGTATGGCTTGTGTGCACTTACTCTTTCTGAGTGGTGAGGGCTGTGCTCTTTCCGCGTTTCGGAATGATGGAAGCCACTTCCGCTGCTGAAGTCATGGTGGCCTGACCTGCGCTTCTTCAGTGTGTCCGAGTGCCGTGTACGGTGCGCCTCACGCTGCCTCTCCTCGGCAAACGACTCCATGGACATGCCGTCCTGTTCGGCCGACATGTCGATGAACACGTTACAGTCCCACGGCAGAGAGGTCTGCGTGGACGTCGACGTCTCGCCGGTTTCCGGCACGTCAGATGGTGACCTGTGTCGCGACCTCTGCGACCTCGTCCCTCCATCGTGTCTGCCAGTTCGACCAGCGTCCCGCTGCCCTGGTGACCGAGGAATGCGAGAGCCACCCGATTTGCTCGACTTTGGCTGTCGCAGGATGGTGTCGTTGTTCTCCGCTGCGAATGGCGACTCGACGGCGTCTGGCTCGTCGTCTTCCGAGCCTGCCGGGCGCTGTGTCGATTCTGAGGTCACGTGGAGCAGGTCCAGGGACCGGCGGTGGTGCCTCGGAGAGGGATCCGCGGCCAGGTCATGCAGGCGAGCTGGGCTAGACGCGACTCCGAACGGGAGGTGTAGGGTCGACCTGCCGCTGGCTCCCGGTGAGCCGTCACTCGGCACCCGGTCGCTATCGTAGCCGCTCTCGTTGGAACAGCCGTGGCTGAGCGGAGGAGGCTTCCAGGAGAAGCTGGAGCCGGTGATGGCGTCAGGCAGGAGGGCGTCAGTTTCTACTGTGTGAGCGACCGCGCTGCGTGGTAGGGAGTGACGTCCTGCCGTAACGCTTCGGATCTCATTGTCTGCACTGTTTTTGATGGCCTTAAACTTTTGAAAGTTTCGGTTAAGTGTTTGGACATCTTTTAGAACTCCATCGTGACTTTTGGGCCGAGATTCTTTGCTGGCCATTTTGCGCCTCCTGCGCACCTCATTGTTGATCGCTTCCTCTCCCTCGGGCAGCGAGGGCAGGCGGGCCATGGTGTGCCGCGCCGACTTGGTGCTCTTTATGGAGGCGGTGTCGGAGCCCACAGAGAACCCCCAGACGTCCAGCTCGGACAGCGGCGAGGGACTCCCGCTCGAGTCAGACCGCTCGAGCGGCACGTTCAGCTGGCTCGTGGACGCGCTCCGGTACAGACTGACGCTGCGCTTCACAGCGCTGGCCGTCCTGGGTCCGGATCCGACCGAGCCCGGTCCGGACAGACGCTGAGCCGGCGGGCTGGAGAACGGCCGGTCCTCCCGCCGCCGACTGAGGGTCCGCGAGCCGCCGGTGGCGCCCCTGGCGGCGGTCCTGGTCAGCTCGTCAGGCTCCTCAGAGACGGTCCACTTGCGTCTTCCGCCGACAGGTGGCGCGCTCAGCTGCTCGGTGCTGATGGAGCGGGTGAGCCGCGACAGCCGACTGCCCACTCGGCGGCCCCAGGTGGACGGCTCTGCAACGACAGGGCGGTCCGATCAGCAGAGTGAGAGGGTGATTGGAGTCGGGGAGAGGGTGACCGGATTCGGGGAGAGGGAGGTCAGAGTCGGGGAGCGAGAACGATCGGAGACGGGGGAGCAAAAACGGTTGGGAAGACAGAAATGTGTGAGGCAACTGCAATAATAATTAATATTTACAAAAGCATATCTGCAACCTCGGCAGCTCAAGAACTTCAAGTAAAAAAGACTTGTTTTGATTTGCGAGTTCAGTCCCACGCACAAGGGGGAAAAGCTCAAATTATTGAGCGCTCAAAATATTGAGCGTGTGACGTCAGAGGCTTCCATAGGCGTAATGCTGAGGGCTCAAAAAATTGAGCCGTTTCAGGAACACGTTTTGCAAAAGCAACTCGCAACACCTAGGGAGAAATGGCAACACCCTAGGAGAATCACTAATGGTGCAAAACAGATTAGGCTTTCATATTTTTCACTGCTCAAGCTTCAATGATTGGGGGAACACCACTTTATAGGTCGAAATCTTACGGCATACCAGGATGACTTAAAAACAGGCCAATATTTATGTCGAAATAAAAGTTATTTTTTGTCCATTCACGTTTTTTACTAGGGTTCTGTTGGAAAGAGCATTTTTCATACTACCCAAAATGATTGCGATTCAATTTCACATTACCCATATCGGAGAATATTTTTCATTTGGCGGCGCCGTTTGTTTATTTCGTCGCGACGTCTCCGGTCGCGTGGTTGTCGTCGTCCTTGTGTTGAAGGTAAGTTTTTATCGTTTTAGTTGTACTTAGATGTTAAAAGGTACACTGAAAAGTTTGAATATGCTGTAATTTTAAATTTGGAAACACGTAAACGTCAATCAAATCACGTTTTCCTCGATTTGCGTGCAGATAAGTAACTGTCGACGAAAGTGGCGCCATCCGATATGATGTTTTGAAGGAAGGAGACACAACATATTTACGTGAAAATTTTTGTTTTTTAGTGGTCTAAGTGCTTCAAAGAGGCTGTGAATGTTTTCTTCACACAATTTTTCATTAGTTATGACGAGGTAAAAGGTAGTTTCAGTCTTAACTTTCATATAATTGACATTAAAACATATGATAGTCCACTGCCATCAGTGATTGAGTACCTTGATATTTGGCATTTCTTATTAATTTGAATGTATTCTCTATCCATATGTCCTGATAGTAAGTGACAATACTCTGCCAATATGTTTCCATAGTTTTCACATTCATTTTCCAGTCCTTTACATAACATCACAATTTATAATCAACAAAACTCAACTCCTTCATTACTTCACAACACTGACAGCATGACAGACTGACAGTCAACTATTGTGTGGGTGAATGCTGAAACAGGATAGCCACTTTGCTAACTGGCTCGCTCATATGATCCTTTATATCATTTCCATCTGAAGGATCGGAGTCAACGGAAAAGGAAGGCCACTTTCAAGCCTCAAGGTCTAGGCCGCCAGACGCCAGTCGGCAGTCACCACCAAATTTATAATAGATTAATTCATTATTATACTTTGAGACCCTTAGGTCACTGCATCAGCATCACATTTTCAGTTTCAATATAGTAAAGGTTTTTATTTGTATGATGTGAAATATTTTCCTGAATCAGAATTTAATTATCCCTAGGTACCTGGTAGAGGTTTTGGATTTAATGCTCATTGTTGGTGTGCAGTCAGGATTTTTTGACAGGTCCAGATAGGGAATCCTGAGCAATTTTATAGTAAAGTGGTCTCCTTATAATCACCACACATTTTATCAAAAGCATTTGCAGAATTCATTCAATGAAGAATTTTATCAATGTTCACCCATTTCTTAGACGACCTAGGCTGCATCTTTTTTTAGTTCCTGTTGTATGACATAGTTTCCGTTTTGTTCCACTGCATAAAGAAAAAAATCGTTTGAGATCACCAAACAGCTTTTCTTTTTCTGGCAGGTCTGCACAACCAAGCGGTCGCTGGCGAGGACGTCGGCCGTCCCTGTGGGTAAGGTCATCTGCTCAGCCTTTGTGGAGATCAGCAAGACGTCACCAAGATGAAGACTTCGCTGGAGCAGAAGCCACTGACCCGTGTCCGATCGGGCAGGTCATGCTCGACGGCACGAGCCACAACTCGAACGACTCGGTGACATCAACAACATGGTGGAGCAGGTGAATGAGTTTGGCGACGTGTTGTGCGACTGCAAGAAGGGTTGTCTGCGTGTTCTGGCCGGCGGAGCGGCGAGGCTGCGCAGTCTGTGCTGGCGGTGAGCAGCTGGCCGTGGTGACCGCGCGCGCCCACATGCGCCGACAACCTGTGCGGCTTCGACGGCCCGGGACAGCCCGATGCCGCCCACTATGCGACGCCGACCGCGCACTGTCTGCACGGCCACATGGAGGTGTGCCCGCGCCTTTTGCCCGCACGCCGCTACCTCGCAGCTGGTCTGCAACCACGCCGTCGCCGCCTGTAGCCCGATAACAAAACGGCTGTCTGATAATGCCGCTTGTTCTTTGTGATGTTGCTACTGTGATCGTTGCTACTGCTGGTCTGAGACTCGATGTTTCCATTCGTCCTTTACATGTTAAGGATTTGATAATGATAAGCTTAGTCCGAGCTTAGGTTGTTTATATCATTTGTTATATGGCATATTTTGGATCAAAGCAGTACGACACTGCCTCCTGCTTTTGTGATGTATGCTGGCAAGACGCAGGTTCCGGTCGCAGGTCACCCGGACCCGGTTCCAATGTGGTTGGGCTGGCATGCGATAATGTGATGTTGTTTTGCTCGTCTCTGTGTTCCACACTTGATGTTTGTGAATCTAACCCACATTGTATACTGTATAGTATTTTTGTTTGTTTGCGGCCGATGGCCTTGTAAGTTGTAACCGTGGCAATACAGTTTTTCCTGCTATAATTCTCCAATATTCAAGCGTGGGTGGATATCTTTCTGTATTCACGTATTCCCTTCTCCCAGTACAGTCAGAGAATATCAATTACAGTATTCATACGGATTATTCAAGCCTTGTATAATTATTTGAGGTGTGCCGAATCCGAAAGACCGATAAAACTACTAGCGGAAATGTGACATGATGCCATGGGTTTGTGAAAAGTTTAGGTACCACGTAGCATTCAACTTCCTGCATTTCTGTTTCAACTCAGTTTAACGTATTTCAACGAACATAACATCAAAAATGGCAGCCAGTACCGGCTTCACCTGTCACGGAGAACGCTCAAAAAATTGAGTGTAGATGCTGGCCGGCACTCAATTTTTTGAGCGCCAGCTGACTGCCGTCTGTCGTGGCGCTCAATTTATTGAGTATCGCGGTCCCGAACGACAAGTGGCGCTCAAAAAGTTGAGCGTCTTTAGGGCATTTTCTTTCCAAAAACACCGATATAAATTATCACGGCGAGTGTTCGAGAAGAAACCTTGTTGCTCTCTCTTGCCATTGATACCTTATTTGGATACGATATTTGCCGTAGTGTGACGCTAAAGGCATTGTAAAATACCATCGTTTCGCCTATTCCTTCATAATGGGGCCCGCTCAATTTTTTGAGCGCTCAATTTTTTGAGCTTTTCCCCCTTGTGCGTGGGACTGAGTTGTATAATATAAACGTGTTGTAATAAGCAACATTATAATTTTTACTTTCTTTTGCTAAGGGCAGGCTCCATAGATGCACCGCAGACAGAATGGTGAGAGGAAGGCATTGGTGCCATTCACGCTATCTAACTAAATTATATTTCAAACGTGTTGGAAGATTTTAAAGCTGATTGGTCAATGCTTGTGTCATGTTTTCAACTTTCATAATTTCTCACTTTCAATGACCAAAGACAGCTTGTCACAGTGGCTTTGACGATTAAAAGACGCAGGTTTTATTTCAGGACCGCAAAGCGTTACAAACCAGCCAAGGAGACGATGACGCTTTAACCGCAAGTCATGACGTGAGCAATTCAAGAGTCATTTGTTCGACGTTAGTCTTGTCATAACAAAGAGAAAATCGGGCTGATAGCGGACAGATTGTACGGGTGATTAGCTGATCCCCGTGAAAGTCAGACGCATCAGCCTCACCGCACCATTGTGTGTTCTTCATGGCGCATCTGCGTGAGAGTCCTTTCTCTCTCAATACTGTGTGACTAACAGATCGGTCCAGTCGAGGAACGATGCTATAATAGACGCGATGTGCTCAAGGAAGTGCATGTTCAGAGGGAGACGTTTTAGCTATATTATTTGATGCTTTTGTAAGCAATGCAATTTTCATTTCAAATGTTTTCCTATATGCGTAATTTAAGATTATCTTCGAAACGTTTATAATGTCTCCTGGAAATCATTCTTGGTGAAATGATTCCTTGGAATGATCCATGACAATTTTCGGTTTATTGGAACTTGTTCCAGAATATTGTCAAATACTTTAAATCGAAGGCTTCTTTCTCGAACTTTGAACGATCAAATGATCTTCTCAGAAACTGGCATGTAGACATTCTGTAACATGTCTAGTTTTTAGCGCGGCACGTCAGTTTAGCTACAGTTCTCGCTTGTTAAAGTTCTTCCACTAGACTTTACAAGCGCCTTACTATAATCACTTATTGACAGCAGCAGGTGTCGCAAAGAAAGTGACCAGTCACGTGCTTCAGATTGCACCGATTCGAAACCCCTATCGTCACGACATCAAGGTTGGGTTTCGATGGATGGTGTGATGCCACACGAACTCATGAGTGATTGTTTCCTGATTGCGATGAATTGACATTTTTACACCTTTTTAACACAAATAAAGGCGAATGGTGAGAATTGGAAAATAATCGCGTCACGAATCAGCACAATTGTTTGAATATTTGACCGAAAATACAGCAAACTATAAAGAAGCTCAATACGTCTCACACAGCCCTCATCTCCTCGCGTTTGCTGATCTCTGGAGTTCATCAAACAAGGTCAGTCAGTGCCGGTTGACAGTTGACTCACTCACAAAGCCAGGTTGTAAACATGTGCAATTGCATGGCATACGGACAACGCTAACCCACGGGGCGAGCCGGCATCACGCACTTGCATGCTCGAAACTCAATCGTGCATTTTACGTGTTGGTTCGCTGCATGATTTCATGGTAGCTAGTCTATGTTGCAAAGCTAAGCTGCAGGTATTTTAGAAGAAATATAAGAGTTCATTTCATGCCACTTCCTTGACGAGGTTAGTTGGCTTGTGTGTCGATGTAGTGTATAGTGAGGGGGTGTTCAGGGGTTTACCTTTTTTGTAGGTGTCCTCGTCTCTGCGCCGTCCTGCCGGGGACGACCTCGTTGAGACGGTGGAGAGGGCCGGTCCACTGTGCACGGGCGCCTTCTCCCTCTTCAGGGGCGCCAGGCTGACCAGCTGGGGCGCCGAGTCGGGCGCCCGCCGGCGGAACAGCCGCATCGTGCCGCGCCCTGCAGACATGGGAGGCGGTCAGCGGCCGAGCGGACTGCGCGCCGTGTCTGCACCCGCTGCCGACAGCCCCTTATGGCAGCGTCGCACTCGTGTCGGCCCGGCCACAAATGGCTCCGACCGGCCGGATCCTGGTGCGACACACGCGGCGCACGCGGCGTGCCAGCGACAGATCCGGCGCGGCTGCCGGCGCGCCGGCCAGGTGCCTGCTATCTGCAGGAAGATCGCGCGCAGGTACTGTTCCCCTGGAGGACACAGACGCCGTTTGCAGCGGCCACTTCCGAGCAAAAAGGCAATGGGCCTGACGTGATTGGCTTATGCAGCGTGTTGACTTGGTAATGCACGGGTCCGACCAACGAAAACACTGTAGCAAACAAACACAGGATTTGTGTTCGATGCAGTCTGTAGCAGCCAATTTAAAAGCCACCTCACGAACATCGTCGAGTGACGGACATCGCCCGAAACATTACCGTTCAAAGTGTGCAGTTTCATGACGGCAACGATCACAGTCCAAGTCTGGGAATCGTAACCGAAGAGGAATAGGCAGTTGGTGTGTCGTTGTCGTCCTATTCAGCCTTTTTCACGATAGTTCACACGGAATATTACTATATGCATTAGTCAAGCTTGTTAGACATGAAAAGTGCACACCCAGTCGAGCTGGAGATCACGAAACTTGTTTTTTCCGTATTATGATAATTTTATATGCCTCGTTTTACTTTAAGTGTGAGAACGGTTACATTGTATATTTCAGCAGCTTGATTTATGCCTCTAATATCATCTGAAACGCTCAAAGTGCCTCCCGGTACCATTCCGGTACCTTTGGGCGACTCACTGCGAAATCTACCACTATTAACGGTTCCTGGGCTCAGAAATTATAGATTTAACGAAAACGATGTAATGGTATGATAGTAAAGCAGCATGTTTTCGCTTAGGTATTCTTTTTTAAGTAACAGCACAGCTCTCAGTAATCACCACGGTATAAGACAAAATAAAGAAGCTTAGGCATATGCGGAGCAAATAATTCAAAAAAGTTGTGTAGTATGTACCGAATTTATTGCTGCCAAGTTGTTACGGTGCATCTTTGTTATGTTGCCATGATTATCAAAAACATGCAGTCGAAATCATTATCGCCTCTGCGTTTCGCCACTATTTACCGTCGGGTGTCGCACAGTTGTGACGCGTGACCTGCTCACTGCTCAGCTCCGAATGATCCGACAGTGCAGTCACTTCTCATAGAAAGTCTCTAGCTTCATATCCACGCTTACGCCAATGGCAGAACAGTGTCCATATCGGAATCTAGCAGCCCATGTGCCTATTAAAAACGACTTTTGAAACGTAGCATTTGAAACTTCGGTATGATTAATGTTTTTTTCAGTGTTTTTATCGGTTCATAATCAAATTGCGATGATAAAAACAAAATAAGTCATTGCAGGATAGTATGTTCCGACTAGGCCCGCATATTTCAATAATTTATCATCACTTTCAGAGGGACTGACTTCTTGAGAGGTGAAGGTCACGACGACGATCAAATGCCGTTTTGATTCACACCACGAAGCGACCTGCTTAAGCCCACCAGTTATGGTCTTCCGACGGATACGGCAGACACTTTCTGAGCACAAGAGAGAAGACTTAAAGCTTAAGTCAGCAGTTCAGCACCATCTTGAATCACAGACGTCTCCATTCGCGTAAAACCTGTCGGGATATAGCTCATCAGAAGGGCAGTACTTCACTTCCTGGATGTCAGCGCCCTGTATCCAACTAGCCCGTCATACTCGGACGGACCGCTCCGCTATCGGGTGGGCGTAATGCGGGGGAGGAGCGCGGCCACACGTCCAAGGACGCGCTTTGCTCTGCTCGGCCGATTACCATGCTGATCGGAGCGATTTACGTGAGTCAGAGGTGATCCATTTATCACCATACATCATAGCCACGGTGGAGTAGAACGCACGGTTAGTCAGACACCTCTGCTTGTGGAGCGGAAAGGAACAAAAGCTTAAAGGTAGTGTGCCAGCTTTCTTGGACCGTATGGAGTTAATGGCCCAGATAAGGAGAACCGGATTTTTAGAACTTATCCATACCTTCAAAACTCATGGAAACGTCTTAAATTCTTCAAATTTTGAGTACCCCAGTGCGAAATTCGCCCCGACGGGTTGTCGGTCGTACCCTAACCACATTTCACACCACTATGAACAATAAATGCACACACTGAAATCGCTATTACCGATATGCTCATCCAATCAAGTTTCGATAAACCCGTTCATCATCAGCTCCTGCGGTTTCGAACACGCCTGTTAGGTGGTGCGGTAGACCACGCCCAAAGCCAGGGCCCCGGTAACGTGAGTTAGCCGAGTCAGGGCAGCGTGCGCTGACCCAAGCCGGAGCCGCGCGTCCTCCCGGTGTCATGTGATAGCCCGGGGCTGCCCGCGGGGATGCGGTAGACCGCGCCCAAAGCTGCGGCCCCGGCTTGGGTCAGCGCACGCTGCCCCGACACGGCTACCTCACGTTACCGGGGCCCTGGCTTTGGGCGCGGCTTCTGCTCATACTTTGTGGTGCGGTGGTGGTGCGTCGGGCTGCGCGCTCTGACTTCGGCCAAGAAAAATGCGTCAGCTGATCATTGTCATTTCTGCCACTTGCGTGTGGTGAAATGGGGTCATAACTTATAAGACGGCTTTTTCATATCAATTATTTTACATAAAATCATATTTCAAACCATAAATAATGTTCGACAGCCAAATAAAAGAAACAATACCAATACAGGCTTACAGTTTAAGGCTCGACATTGTGTTGTCTACGATTAGACAGCTGATAACTCATTCCCGTACGTCGTATGGTCGTAACACTACAATGACCTTTGCTTATTGTCACAAGTGCGCCGCATTCGCGATTGTTGCCCGACGCCTGTTTGCAGGTGAGCCCACTACAGTTGCTATACATATCTAAAAACCGATAAACTTTTAGGCGAAAAAGGCACTATTCCAGGCCCATTTTTGATTTTTTTGCGATATTAGGTAAAAACAGAAGCTTCTTATCCTAGGAAAAATAAAATGGGAAATCTTTCAAAGGTGGCACACTACCTTTAAATGAATAAGTACAGAAGTGGACAATCACGAAAGCTTAGATGGTAGACAGAACATGGGACAAACAAACACAGCAATGAGAAAAGAAGAAAGCTTCGCGCCCATCTTGTCCCACGTGTCGCCACCATCGCAAGCGAACACCATGTTGAATTGGCTCACCGCAGGTACCTATAAACTAAAGAGCTGTGTTCCACTAATGTGCACCCGGCTCACTCGCAGGCCACTGCCATCACATGCCATGTCGTGCAACCCTGGTCGTGCATCCCGATAAAAGTCGGTTCATACTGGCTACGCTCGCCACTTACGTATTTGCTTCACATGTAAATCGTATCGTAAGCTTATTGAGGACTCACGTAGGATGGGACTTCAACACTTCTAGAAAGGAAGTTTTTTTTCAAAACCTTGAAAATGTTATAATCAAAAATCGTACACTTCTTTTGAGTATTTTCCCTTCGAGTTACATTGCAAATCATATGCTGGACTATTCGCGATAAGCGTTGGTACGAATCGGTTATATCCGCTAGCTGATGCCCCACTTGATCAACGAGCCAAACTCACCGATTGCAAAAATAAGAATCGCTAAATTTATTCTAATTTTCCTATCTGTTTCTTCCATCCTTTACTTTCATTCCGTTTCTGACTATGACTCATAAGTAGCTTCATCTCGAACTGCCTGTGCCTACCCTCCACCCTTTGCCCAAACCTGTCCGATCCGTCGATATGCCCAGTTGGAGACCGGAGCAGCAGCTCATTTGCGTGTTCTACGATCGGCCCACCGCGCCGCCCCGGCTGCTAACATGCTAAACCGTCGCTATCTGCGACCCTGGATCCGGATATGATCTATACCCGACCGACCAGCTCCATTGGTCTGCCGAACATGGCGGTATTCACTCATACATGTATGAGGTGAGCGTAGCACTTGGGCTTGGACATTGAACAATGAACAGAACAGTACAGAACAGTCCCCAAGCATATGCCGGTTAGGTTATAGGATGTGGTACGGAGTATAGGGTGGAGCATCACGTAAAACCCTATTGCGGTGCCAATACATGCAACTGCATTAGGAACGCAAGTGGTTGCAAGATTCCATTTTGTTGTATGACTACAGACATTATAAAGCGTCGTAATCTGAGGAATCTCAGATGATGTCAGTGACTCCGTACTGATGTCTGTGGTGTTAAACTCCAAGAACAACATCTGGACCTATAGTCCCACGAACCCAAAGCTGAACGACCAAATACAGGACAGTGCTGAGCGATTTTCAACAGTGAGCCCAGGAATACGGATCACATCACCCGTCCAAATCTGGCGCCGGTTCGTGATCACGAAGTCATGTCGTGGGCGTGTCTATCATATGGGGAAAATGCTGGAAATAATGGCGAACTCGGCTCTCGGAAGATAACGGTTTACGGTGAGTGCATTGACCTAAAGCATTTACATTGAAAAGGTTCATGCTTATTTGAGAGCAATTAAATAATTACGATGAATCTTTAGAGCCTCCTATAGAGTTGATAGGACCTTCACGCACAAGAAATGCCGGTGTGCGTGGTGCTCACCCCATTTCCCTTACATTTAGCATGTTTTGCAATAATTACTTATTCATATATCGAAATACAGGTCTCAGGGCTATGCTGACTCATTTCCATGAGATGCATCGTCGGTAAGGGTGATATCACAGGACCTCCAGTCCACATCAAACAGTGCCGCTGCGACAGAGCAGCGAAGACGTCGGAAATATCATCGCTCTCCAAAACCAGTCTTCTCTTCCCCTCTTCCACGAATGGCTCTTGGCTTCTAACACCGCCGCATTCACCACTTCAATGGTCATCGATGCTCGATCCCCCTTCTCATCCACCCATCCAGCCATAGTTGACGCTGCTGCTGCTGCTGCTGCTGCTGCTGCTGCAGCTGAGACAGTCACCGGA